GCTAATTTGGCTCCTGAAAGAGTTGTGGCCGTCCCGGGACACCGGCGCTCGGCTGCAGCTAACCCCAACCGAAGCTAGCTTCTCACGAGGACACTTAGCGACATTTTCCCTCCTGCTACGAGTCCAGCAGCTTCTCCGCGGAAGAAGGAGGAGGTTTTCACAGCTCGGTGGGGTGGTGGAGGTATGACTGCGCTGGCTGGGTCAGTGCCCAGGATGATGCGACCCACGCTGGCTCAGAACTACCCCCACAGCGGCTTCCCCCTGGAAGGTAAACTCGAAGGACGGGAGAGGTCTGGGTCTCTTCTCTTACCCCAAACCCAAGCTCTGAAACTAATGACCAATTTGACAAATATTAAAATAAACTCCTTTTTTTTTTTTTTTAATATAATAGGCCTAATATTATTTTTACCCAATATTTAGGGTTGTTTTTACAGTTTTATTATGGCAGTTCTATCAGCTGCGCCATCTTTGTTTATTAACGCAACATTAAATGTTTACATCCAGTTTAGTACATATTTATATCATTAATAAACGTACTGTTTTTAACTCATTGTCACTAGAATAATTTGGCCGTGCGTTGAGCCGTTTCTCTTCATGTCTTTGGGCCGAACAGTGTCCACCCCGCTGGGCCAGGGCCGGGTCAACCAGCTCGGGGGGGTCTTCATCAACGGCAGACCTTTGCCCAACCACATCCGACACAAGATCGTGGAGATGGCCCACCACGGGATCCGGCCGTGCGTCATCTCCCGGCAGCTCCGGGTCTCCCACGGCTGCGTGTCCAAGATCCTGTGTCGGTACCAGGAGACGGGCTCCATCAGACCCGGGGCCATCGGAGGCAGCAAACCCAAGGTACCCGCATGCACGAGCTGCTCCCGCACGTGCATCTCACCTGTTGGGGCCCAGAGACTGACACCTGGTTTGTGCTGTTTCTGAAGCAGGGGACGTCGCCGGACGTCGAGAGGAGGATAGAGGAGTACAAGCGGGAAAACCCGGGTATGTTTAGCTGGGAGGTTCGGGATAAATTACTGAAGGATGGGATATGTGACCGCAACAGCGTTCCTTCAGGTAAAACAGACAACAAATGAGACAATTAGATTTATTTCAGCTTAAGTCAAGTAAAAAAAAATGTATATTTTTGTTTTTGCTCGTTCAGTTTAAAAACACAAATCGTTCATTATAGCAGTGTTTATATACAATATTGTGCTGCTTCTAAGTTTGAACTCCTTCCAACCCTGTCAGTGAGCTCCATCAGCCGGGTCATGAGGAGTAAGTTCGGAGGGAGAGGCGATGAGGAGGAGGAGGAGATGGAGAAGAAGGAGCTGGAGGAGAACGAGCGGAGGACCAAACACAGCATTGAGGGCATCTTAGGAGACAGATGTGAGTGAACCCTTCCACTTGTTGTTTACTGAACAAACAAACAGTTTCTTGGTTAAAGTTGTTCATTGAAGTTCTTTGCTGGGATAACTGAGACCTTCTGCAGAGATCTGAGGACTCTTCACCTCAAAACGTTTTTTAAAATGAAAATTTCAAGAGAAACCTTGGAGGTGCACGTGCTGCAAAGCTGCTGGATGTGGGCATCCACCATATCTGTGCTAATGCTGCTCCCAGGGGCCCATATCGTAAATCAAGCAGCAGGTGATGGCTCTGTGCGGGAAAAGAGAGTGTGTGTGTGTGTGTGTGTGACTGCCCCTTACAGTAACTCTGCTCAGCCTGTTGGAGTGCATTTTTTATTGGTTGGACAGCAGCTCCATGAATTATTCAACCGGCGCTCCATCATCGTGTTTATTTGATTGTGTATCGTTACTTTAAACACTAAAACAGTTTATATAAGTTTTGGCAGCGTTTCACGAAAGAAAGGTAGTTTAGATGTTTTTATTTTATGAGCTGTGGTAAAGTGGTTAGAGCTGTGGCCTCACAGAAGAAGGTTGCTGGTTTGCTTCTCGGTCTTTCTGTGCCCATGGGTTTTCTTTGAGCTCTCCAGTTTCCCTATAAAAACATGTTAGATGAACTAAATTGTCCCTATAGGGGAGGGACAATACAAATGGTTGTTTGTCTCATTTGTCTTTATGTGTCCCTGTGATGGACTGGAGACAAGTCCACGGTGTCCCCCACAACTGGAGGCAGACAGAGAGGAGGCCAAATAAAATCAAGTCATGGGCTTTAATGAGCAAAACATTAAAAAAGAAAACAATATGGACTACAATAAATAAATAAATAAAATATTTATAAATAAATACTGATATAATTTTTTGGACTTATTCTTTGTCCCGTGCAGCGGCTCCTTTGATGGGACTCTTGTATTTTTTTTCCACACACTGAAAACATTTTTAGACTCACTCTTGCTGCCATGCAGTGACCGGGACAGAAAACCATCACTTCCTCTTTTAAATAAACATTTTAAACAAATATAAACTCTTCTGAATTAAATAAGGCTGATAATTGAGAGAAAAAGATTTAAAATAAACATGTTGTCTGTTTTTTGAAACATTGCCACACTTCGAGGGAACAGTCCAGGAGCAGTTTGTGTGTCTCAGCAGGGAGGACAGAGATAAAGGACTCCGCTGCAAGAGACAAAATGTCCCCCAGATGAGCTGATCAAACATTTGTTCAACGGTTTCCATCTCCGCACGCCTCGCGCGCACACCGGGGGAGGCTCGCGGATGAACTTGGGGGAGACAAAAGAGCGCGAGTCCATTTGAGGCTCACGCTGGAGCTGCACGCAGACAAAAGAAGGCCGGCTTGGAAACAGCTTTTGGCCAAAAGAAGGAGGCGACCTGCTTAAAATTCAGCCGAGTAAAAGAAGAGTCTCAGCGTTTATAAAAAAAGAGCAGAGCTCACGACGAGGCCGCAAAGAAGGATGAATTATTCAGGAGAGCAGCTTCTCACTGTTTCCCCCCAAAACACGTCTAATGTAACATTTTAACAAAACAAACAATAACAGTTCATTTTTAAAACCAAAAGATGAGAAATGAATAACTTTGGAGCCTTGTTGTGTTTTGATGCACTCCTCACTATTATTAACATCTTCAACTCAGAGGTTCTCAAACTTTTGGGTCTGTAGACAAAAAAAAACCAACTCAAAAACAATTTACTGCCATTTTAAACCCTAAATGTCATGAGAAGATATTTGTCTTTATTTGTATTGGTCCCCATAGATATCGATGTACTTTTTAAAACCATGTGACATAACTAATAATTAATTGTAATTCATTTTACGGACCCCCAAGCAACGGCTCACGGACCCCTGGTGGTCCTGGGACCCCAGTTTGAGACGCTGTGCCTGAATGATGTTCATATTGCGCCTCGTCTCGTTTAAACGATGAGGGGAGTGTATTACAGAGTACTTTCGCTGAATAGGCCCCAATGTTCTCCCTCCCGGAGGAGCCCGGCCCGGCCCTGGAGCGCAGGCTCACAATGGGGGCCCCGGGCCACCCGTCCCCTCCGAGCAGCACCGACCACTTCGCCGCCAACCCCTCCCTCCTTCTCCTACCTTACCGCTCCTCCTCCAGTTCCCTAAATCTCTTCAAGCAGATTAAATGGACTCTTTTATTTCATCCCTCTTTCATTCCCCCCCCGCACCCCCCGCAGCCTGCG